TACTATGTTTTCAAAATGATTTTTGAATACAAATGCACCAATTTCATCTGGACTGTTTTTATTCGCTATTGTATCAATGATTGTTTTCAATTCGATTCTGGTTAATAGTTTAAATTCAGTAAATTCATTATTGTTGTTATTACCAGACAGATTGAAATTGGTTGCATTATTTGGGATGCTACCAACAATTTCCTGTATACTTTTAATATAATATTCATTTAATTTTTCTACTATGACTAACTTATCACTAACAACTTCATCCCCGAATTTTATTTTTGTTACATGATCTTTAGTTTTGGATGATATAATGCTTTTCAATGTTTTCCACATTTCCTTCGAATCGCCCTTGCACATGTCAACTTTCTGGTTATAATAAGCACTTTTTTCTATTTTCAGTATACTCACAGCTCTATTTCTTTTATTTTTATAATACTCCCAGTCAACAAGATCTCTAGTGAATTTAAATCTTCTAAAACTCATGTCTCTATCCTGAATTGCTTGACGAATATTATCATTGAACCATTCTTTTTTGCAACCTCCTACCGTAATTTCCTTCTTAGGCATGAATTCATTTATTATAGTTTGCAATTGTTTAGTGAAATTGTTACATCTAACATTCAAGTCTTGTTCTCTATAATTATATTCCACTCTCGATAACCTATCATTGAATTCTGATACGTTTGTTAGTCTGCATCTAATGGTTACTTTTTTTAGAGGGCATTTATCTTGGATGTTTATTCGAATAACTCTATGATTTGAGAAAGTGCATTCATCTAGTACAGAAGTGTATATATTAGACACATTTGTAAAAACTAAATCGATCATACTGCTTCCATTTCCCCAGAAATGTGTATTTGATTTGACAATTTGTCTTGAACCATTATCTTTAGTACATTGTTTCAATCTCCTGCTGTGAGTAGTTTCTGAATTCCAATCTATATTGAAATCTCCTACCATTATAAAATTACACTCACATTGATTCAATGCTGAATATTCCTCGAGCAGTTCACCTAGATAATCTAGAAAAGCAAAATGTGATTCATTTGGTGAATGGTAAATTCCCATTAATGTGTAACTATCATTAGCAATCTTGACTTGAACCACAAAACACCACATATTCTTTCCAATAATGTAAGTCCCAACTTTGTTATAAGTTACATCCAGCCTTATATAAAAAATTACCCCCCCTGTGTGTCTGCTTTGTGAATCAAGCCTTAATATCATATAGTTCTCAATAAACAACTCATTATTTTCTATATCCTCAGTAACGTGAGTCTCAGTTAGGCATACAACAGCAGGTTGATTTTTATCTATAAAATATTTAATTTCATCATAGTGACATACTAGACTTTGACTATTCATAAGGAATATGTCTGAACTCAAATATATTGATTGCTATTGCTTTCTGTTCCCTGTTATATCTTCATCTCTTTCTAGCGATTCAGTATAATTAATTTTTTCTTGAACTTCACTTACGATTCTCCTATAGGCTGCACAATCTCTGTTGTATGCTGTATGATCATAATTGATATTGGGAATCTTCAATATCTCTGATGCATATTTACAATTTACACAAGTTTGTTGATCTGCAGTGCAATTATCTGATTTATGTTTTCCTGAACATTTTGGACAAATGTCACATGTACTTTTACAAAACTTAGCTTGATGTCCAAATCTCCAACATTTGAAACACTGCATGATGTTTACGTAGTCACGATAATAACAAGTTTTCCAACCCAGGTTCACTACTTCTCTTTTCTTGACAATAGCATATGTCTCTGGATCTAACTGCATTATTACATTGATCATCCCTTTTTTGTTTTTGAATATATTTACTATTTTCAGTTCCCTTTTTTCTGCCTCTGTTGTAATACAGTTTTGTATTATCAATTTTTCTATCAAATCATCTTTATTTTCAGATAGCTTCTGACCAACGTTGAACACTTCTATTTTTGGATTTTTCTTTTCTGGTACTTCAACTTCATAATCTGTTCCTATTTGTTTTTGAACATTTTCACAAATTGTTTTCATTTCTTCCTGGTTACTACATTTTATGGCTACACCTCCATGTCTGACATTTTTTAATAGAATGAAGAGATTTTGTATTTCGTGTAAAATTTTTTTTTTAATTATAAATCGCAAAGCGCTTTCGGCTAAAAAGCCATCATCAGTGCTATACTCGTCAAGTATTTACAAAAAGGTCCAAAAATTAGTGATCACAGACATCATTATGGTACAAACGGGATATTTTTTTTTTTTGAAAAAAAAATTATCAAACATTTTCCAGAATAAATAAGGTTAAGGTCCCTCGTGCTATTTCTGGACTTCAACAAAACAATCTCAACATGTATTCTTGAAAAATTTTACAATAACCCTTTAGGGAACATTTTTGTTAAATGTATGTCTGTTCATAATCCCGTCTGTACCATAATGATGTCTGTGATCACTAATTTTTGGACCTTTTTGTAAATACTTGACGAGTATAGCACTGATGATGGCTTTTTAGCCGAAAGCGCTTTGCGATTTATAATAAAAAAAATTTTACACGAAATACAAAATCTCTTCATTCTATTGATCAGTTACGTGTATGCAGCTAGTAAAAATCTTGACATTTTTTACCCTTGATACTGTTCCTAAAGTGCAGGGATTTACTGCCTCTTCTTACTTTCTCCTTGTAAGTATGCTAGTTTGCTCGGTATTTTTGGGCTTTATCAATATAACTTCTTCCTTTTTATTAGTTTTGAGTACCTCATTATATCCCATTTTTGCTCCAGACATTGGATCTTTGACTCTCATATCATCGATATTTTTCTTCAAAAGTTCGATAATTTCGTTTTTATCTTCAATAATTTGTTCCTTACATGTTACTAATTCCTTATACAAATCAAATGTCGCAAACGTCCTATAATTCTCGAGATATAGGGTATCAAAGTTGAACATATACATAGATTCTTTTTTTTTTCACCCTGTATAGCTATTCCTGAGGAAACTTAGCTCAATAGAGAAAAGGACTTTAGTGACATGATTCACATCAATCGCCACTGATACCGCTATTTCAATTCACAAGAGTTATCACCGACTGCTAGCAGTCGTCTGCCGAAGGCTAACTTTGTACCAACTATATTGTTCAGGAAGAAGTAACATTCATTTGATTATTCAGCACAAATCATAGAACTCTAGAACTTTTGAGTTGACGTATTGTGTTTTAATTGTACAAATATATTCATTCGTGATATTTTATTGTATAACTTGTACAGTTGATTCACCAACATTCAAAATGAATTTTTCATACTGAATGTCCGTACAGGCATATGAACGATGTGATGTTTATACTGTTACATGTTTTGTACATAGACGTAGAAGTCGTAGAAATACATCTCGTATGGATAAATCATTTCAAAATTGGGTAGTTTGACTGTGGGTATAATACAATAGAACAGTACAAACCAATACCAAACAATTTAGACAAAAAATCCGATAAATTTTTAATCTTTCAACTGCTAACCAAATGACCTAACCAAATTTGGAAAGAAATAGACAGTTGTGGAGAGATTGTGAGGTGTAACATGAACCCTTGATCAATCCAAATATTTGAAGTGGTTGCTCACTGTTTCCACAAGGCGTTATGAAATTGAGGGTGAAAGTGTTATACTTATCTATGTTCTTTCCTTTCGAATGATCAAACCATCATTTTTTTCGGAAACTAAAATCAAGGCTGGCATCAACTCACTTTATGTTCGAAATTCCTTTACAATCGGACGATAAATAGAAAAGTAACAGGGCTATACATTTCGGTATATACATGTTTTTGTCGCCTCTTTTTTCACAAGTATGTATAGAGGGTACTGAATACTTTAAGCTGGTCGGAAATAATATGATTATAATAATTCTCTCGAACAGTTTCCAAAACAATGGTCAATACTCATCGATTGAATTCATCTTCAAGGATTTCTAATAGTTAATTTTCTCATTGCAGTGAAATTTCGAAGGCAATTCTTCGAATTGACCCCACTACACATAATATATTGAAATGATACTCATATTTCAATTCGCAGAAACAGGAAGACAAAATCCCTAATGAACACTCCACCACCTCGATGAATCTACACCGAGTATTGTGTTTCTGTTTCATTGTTTATGCACTTCAGGGATTGAAAGGGTACCTTCATTCCCTATTTTCAGGAAGGAATTGGTACTTCAAATCCCTAGGGATTTGAAGTCACTTCACAGTAAATTTCTTTGCAATGAAAGATAAATTTAGAGATATGTTTTCAAAGTGTTTGTTGCAATTGTGACTTTCATAATCGAATAATATACGCTCCACAATGACGATGATTTAAGCTTCTTTGACTATTCCAAGAGATATGATAGCAGTACATTTTCTCCTGTACATTTTCCCACGTTCCGTTCTTTGTTTTATTTGATGGACTCGAATAACTGTTTTTTATATTGTTCTCCAGATTTTATTGGTGATAATTGCCCTTCAGCTCCCTGAGCTGCCTTTCCATCGCGATCATCGTCTTTCAATCGGTGTGGCATGTTTGACTAATATTTATCTATTTATGTTTCACTCAGTTACTTGTTATAACACACCAAGATTTTCAGTTGCTGATTACAGTCATGATCTGGATCACCATAGTTACTGAAGTCGTTGATATGGTAACAATCAGCCTCTTCGATGATGTTTTTGCAGTAGAATAACTACCTACCGTTTAGTAGCATTAACTATTTTTTCGTTAATTTTTCTTCAAAGTTTTACCTATCATGCAGTGCATGAAATAGTATATACACCTCGGGACTGAAGTATTTTTAAATATCCCTTGACAAATTAAAACCTTCCCGTTGGTCGGGCTATGAAATACCACTTTATTCCCCAGGTGTATGATGTACTATCCACTATTCTGATCCTGAAATATTCTAGAGAACTGTTCGCCTTCTGAATACGTCATTGCCAAATCGATATCCGAAAATAGTCACCGTCTCTACACCAAAATGACAACTCACTTCGGAGGGCAGTTGTGTGTGTTGCATTCTACGACGGTGGAATCGGGCTTTTGTGAATCGTTGCAAAGCTCCTCTTCTACTTCCTCGCCCGTCACTCGGTTCTGGCACAAGGGACGTGACATCTTGTATCCTGCAATAGAAGAGAACTTCGAGTTATTTGTTGTCAGTCAGAGTGTCAACCGCGCATGAAAAGGGATAGGGCTCGTTGGAAATGTATCTAGAAACTAGAGCCAGGACCGAACTAAGGCGATGAAGACCATTAACATTCTCCATTTTACTACTACTGAGGAAAATCTGTTGAACACACTTTTCTGAAGGATTCGCAATGCCGATTACAAATTTGCAGTTAACCAAACTGTGATTTTCGATTATGTCCTTCTCAACATGAAAACAAAATAGCGAAACAGAATATCAGATGATTCCATGCTATAGAGTGAATCAATAGTTTTCAATCTTCATTATCCCATACAGGTGCGCCGATATAATATTCCATTCAGGTTACGCGGATTGGATATCCCAAAAACTAATAATGACGCAATTCAGATTTCGAGTTTCAGTATTATTTATCATTATTGTCATGCATTCCTTTCACCTCATACCAACCAGCCACAGACGAAACTGATTTTATATTAGATTCAGACAGTGAAAAAATAGCATCAAAAAATACACTATCAAATACTAGATATAGTGCAGATCATTTAATCAGTACGCTGGATTTCGCTCTCAATCTGCTTTAAAATGAGGAGTCGCAAGCCATAGGGTTGCGTTTGAAAAAAACTTGTTGGGGTTGATTCCAACTACTCCTGAAGGGTTATTATCTTCATATTGCTCGCAAAATTAAATTAAATAGATTTAAACGTTGACATGAAAATTTTCAATCATTCACCTTCTCAGTAGCGAATTCATTCTACTTAAAGTCCCCACCCTTTATTTAGATCCAGTTTTTTACCATATTTCTACTCATAATATCAAGAAGGACGTTAGCAGTATTGTGTTCTATTCATTAATAGTTATTTAACCAACTAGTGTATTAATGAGGGCGATTATAATGATCGAGATATTTCAACGTGCGAGCGAAGCGAGTCCGTTGATGTTCGAGATTATTAATCGCCTTTCAATATACAAGTTGGTTACAAAATTTTTCCGTCGACTATATTTCTCATTTCTCCTGCAATAAAGAAAACTTGGTTAGCGAATTCATCATCCATCCGGAAACTGCGCTAAGAATCACCCAGTAGCCTTGTTACTTACATTAGTGTCATTTGACATTTGTCGAAATGATCAACATAGGGAATAAATTCCTTGTGTTAGAAAACAGGGATTGAAATCGTGTCAGAAACTTGGAAAGGCGAACTCGTTAACGGAAAAAAAAAAGTGTTTAAAAGTGTTTTTAACCGCCAGCTTAGTTGCAAAGCAACCCTCGAAAGTCAGAGACTTGTAAAATCGTTGATGAAATCCATATTTTTGATTTAAATGCAGATTCCGCTAGTTATAGCATAAACAATGAATGCACGCGGTGTAAGTTTGGTTGCCTATAAAACAATCGTGCATTAATAGACAAATCGTCCATTAATAGGGGTCATTAATGAACGATTTCATATACATTAAACTTAGTCGTTAATACGAGGTCGACGGAAATGGAAATTAAATCATGATTTTCCTGCGGTGCTTGAGTATGCTAATATTGGGTTCATGAGATCTTTTTGATTTCACAGTCTCTTGAAGAATTTTTCATAAGGTAGTGAAAGAGTGTGTGTACTATAGCCTCCTTTCTTGCTGATATTCTGTATGATGAACAAAACTCCCTCAATCCACCCCTGAATGCAATATTCGTAGCAAGGAAAACGATTAAGAATGCAAGAATGGTCTTAATTTTCTGTTCGAGTTTTTTTGTGAATATCCAAACAACAACTAGGTACCTATAGGTTGTTTTGGGATTGTTTATGGTTTACATTAGCATCCTAACTTCATGTCTTGGACCCTTACTCCCAGGTTGCAAATAACCAAAGAAAGTAATATTGATACGTCAGGAGATACCTCCCAAATTTTCGAGGAATATCGTTTCCTTGAATGATTTTGTTCCAAACAAGAAGTTCACATCTAGTTCGGAACAGTAATCAGATTAATAATGACTATTGGGACCTTCGCCATGTTTCGTGAAAATATAATATGGCAAACTTTTTCTCTCTCGCTCAAAAGAGCTCAACAAAATTTTTCCAAGCACTGTGTTCATTGAAATTACAAATTTGTAGGATTTATAGATTCTTCAGTAAAAGGAGACATCAATAAGTTATTGCCTGATCTGCTGTAGTTTTGTTTTGATGTAAGTGCATTTCTGATTCGTCAAATGACAAAGCTTTCAGATCAATTATTTTGTTGACATGATCCATTCGTCGAAATATCTGTGTGTCATGAAGAAAGAATAGATAATCTCGGGAAATCAGGTGGAATTGTTTTCATCTAGGAAAAGATTACCAACGAAATTCCATGAACTCATGTCTTCTTTTCTTCTGAACATCTCTGAATAAAGACACTGTATCATGATATCAGCACACTCACTAATGGGAATGATTCAATTAACATTGAATCAGTCGCAGTGACAGCGACTTCCGAAACGTACATTGACCTAATTGAAGAGAGGATATAGATAAAGAACTTGTCAAATTGTGTGCAGGGACAGAGATAGTTTATGTGATGTCTGTTGCTGGCTAATAGCCTGACCTCTATTTACACGAACTGAAATACGGCCAGTTAACGATCACCCACCCCATTTCACAATAAATTGAAAGGATAACCTTGATAAGGTACTGGCAGAGATTTGTTATTCTGAGTCTCCTGATATGAGTAGAAAAATATGACTTTGGCCTGCAACATTATTGTATAACAGTGTTTGGAACATTCGTTTTTACCTCATTGTAGTACTTAAACAGCTCACTTTTTCGACAAAAAGGTTCACTTTCATTCAATGAAGCTCATCTTCTAGATATACATTCTAGCAAAAACTCAAAAATATCTAATTAAACGGCTTCATCGGTATCAATTATGTTTCAGTTTTTGGACACCACGGTTTTATCGCTTGCAGCGCATAAGAAGAAATCACTTTAACGTTCGGAGGACATCAAGCATACCTGTAGTAGGAAGGATAGGAAAATGAGGTTGGTATTGGAATATTTTTTGCATTAGTTCTTGGGAAAACTTCCTTAGGCAATGAATTCCAGAGCTTTGTCGTTTTATAGACGAACGAGTTTTGATCGACACATTTAGGGGTTGACAACGAAAGGATGTGCCGACTTGGCTTGTCGAGATTGTCTGGTTGGTATTGCTAATGCTGGAATAACAACAGATTTTTCTGAGGAATATTTTCCGTGGAAGTATCTATAGAAAAGAGGAAGGCTCATCTGATCTCTTGGATCCCATAAGAAGGAATCCCTATAATTTTCGAAAAGCATCGTGCGTACCTAGAGAGGAAAGGAGGAGAGGTTGGTACTGGCATTTCTTTCATTATTTGGAGGTTCTAATTTCTTGGCAATATATCCATTGGCAAAGAATTCCATAGCTTTGCCGTTCCATAGACGAACGAGTCATGGAATAGTATATATTGTGTAACAAGTGGGAAAAGTTCAACTTTTCTCACGAGTGCGAAAGTTTGTGACACGAGCCTGAAGGGCATTGTTAGTGATGGAATGATATCAGATATTTCTGAAGAACATTTTCCTTGGCAGTATATATAGAAAAGTGCAATGTTACCGACTTCTCTAAGGTTTTCTGATGAAGTCAGAGGATTGGTGAGTATGGCATCCTACCAGACGAATGACTTTTCTCTGAATGGAATCTAAGAGCATCAGTGTTTGTATGCGACCCATAAGTGAGAAAAAAAAATCCGAGTTTTTGTGGAGCAGCTTCCGCGACGGATCGGACATGATTATAGTGGACTTTGGTGGTACGAGAATCTGGAAGTACAGGCTCGTGTTTTGGTGCCGTCGAATTCGAATGAGTCGTTTATTCCCCAGGCTCCAATTTCAGCATGATCTTCATAGACAGCGTGGACCTGTCTTCGTCATAACCCTAACAACACCAGTACATCCTAGGGACTTCCCATAAACGTCCCTGATTTTATTCTAGGACATCCCAGGGATGTCCTTTGTCGGGACAACGTACATACTGAGGATGTCCCAGGGATATCCGCTGGCCGCTAAAAAAGGCATCCAAGGGATGTCCTTCTGGTACGTCCCTGGGATGTACCAAGTACGATGAAAGGATATCCCTAGGACGTCCCAAGGATATCCCAGGGACATCCTTTCGACAAGATAAAGAAGTTGCAGGTCGAGTAGGGATTGAACCCGGGACCTTTGGCTTATCATGCACGCACCTTGCTCCATTGGCTATCATGCCTCCTGAAGATTTTTGTACTGAACAGATTTATAAACAGGACTTAACTACAGAAACCTGAATAAATACAACTTCATTAGGAATAGGGTATAATTATTATCATTCTTGGGTGTTTTAAAATGAGGGGCATTATGCATGTACGATTTCTGTCTGCGAAAAATGGTAATTTCTCAAGAAGTTTTGAGACTTTATTCTTTATTTTCATCACAATCATTTTCCGGAAGAGAAACAAACATTTTCAAAAAAATTCAACTCAATAGTTTGATGAAATTCAATGACTCTGATGTGAATGGATATCAGATACTCCAGGGACACGAATAGGATAACCTAGGGATGTACCGGGCGGGATGTCCACTGGACAACCACTGCAGGACATCCCCTGGATGTCCCAATCATGTCCTTGTACCGCGGGACAAAAAAGGGACGTACCTAGGACATCCCTGTGTTGTTAGGAAAGTACGTAGTTTCCTGGGAAGAGATATAGACATTCCTGAAGAGAACGCATTATGGAGAGTACTATCATCCACAAAACTGTGGAGAGGGCAAGTAGAGACTCCCAACAGATCATCGATATGAAATAATATTGAAACGATGTTGGTCGCCAACTCCTCTGGATGGAATCTGAGAGCATCAGCGTATGATTAGGGCTGGAATACATATGTCGAAACAATATTCGAGAATATGGATCACTTCTGGAACACATTCCATAGCGATATATGGTTATTTGGTACTTACCTCCTCCACAAGAGGAAGAACAGAGTGAAGACGATATCAGGGTCCAATGGTACAAAGGTCTCGAACATGAAGATCCATCTCCTCCACAGACACCGCATTCATCCACTTGCTTCATTGATCCTATCCTCAAGTCACAGCCCACTCTCTGAAAAAAAAAATCAATAAACAACATTGGTGATTCAAGGATTCGAGAGAGCTTTGCAGTATATCATCAGTCTCTAATAGACACCTCAATGTCCTGGAGATTCTCCTATCATTCTGATCCTGAATTCGTTTTCTCCAGCACGATATATCTATGGTTCATTTTTCATTGAAAATAAGGAGAGAAGGAGATTTTCATCAATAGCTTATTGACTCCTGAACCCATGTTTGTTGAACACGGCAAGTTTGTTTGTTATGCGGAACTGTATGTTATTACACAACTACATTCATATACCAATCAGTTTGAAATCTCCATCGGATTTAATAATGGGAGATACGACTCCCTTGATACTAATATAAATATGGAGGAGCGGTTCGCACATCATCAGGCAGTCAGTCAATCATTCATAGTGTCAGTTCAACTGACTTCAACATCTGAATACTATGTATTTCAAAGCACTCGAAACGAATTGAAGTAATGAGTGAGTAACAAATGAGTGTTCTTCGAGCTGTGGTTAGATTATACTAACTTCATAAATGAATAGTGTGAGTGTTCACTTCTGTACACGAATAACGTAACAATCATACTTGTACTTATTGTGAAAATCAAGTGGACATCTTCCGAGGTCCTTCAGTCGGCACTCGAATTCATTTTTTCATCAATTCAAAGCTCGCACTATAATGATATGGACTCCTATCAAATTCTCTATGATTCACGCAGTTTGCGTATCAGATTCGAACCCCAGTTGACACTTTAGAAACCCTACTCGCTTCCACAAACGATAATTGGAGGGCATTTTCCTCCAAAGCAGAAACCCTTCTCGATTCATAAAATATGCAACGGTGAGTATACGAGGCAATAATGACGGAGGCGGTACACAAAACCATTCTGATTTTCGCCGAGTAGTGTCACTTTAGAGACGAGAGCGATGAATAAATGAGGGGTTGAAGTGTATAGGGACGTGAGCGGCTGAAACCTGCCAAAATAGTGCCGGTAGGAGTCTTCTGTTTTTTGTAGGGCGTCTGTCATATCTCTCCGAGTCTTCGAGAACAAAAGCATATCTACTCGGGAATTCAAGAGCTAAGGTATTTAGGTATTTCGTGCGTAATTATTGCCTTTGGTAAATACGATGTAAGGTAAATTTGTCAAATTTAGACACGTAAAGGAATAGGTAGTACTTCAAATTCCGCAGAAATAGTATATTCATGAATATTACCAGAAATCTTCCACATCTAGTAACATATACAACCTTGCAACATTTCTCATAAGAATCAAAAGTGATAAAAAAATATATTCCATTATATTTTTTTATAAATATATTATATTATGCTATTGAACTCAATTCTGACACTCATATGGAACGAAATTCTGACACACACGTGTATGTACATTATTTGGACACAATCTGAAATTCTTATATTTCTGGTCCTAATTCAGAGACAAAAAAACACATTGAATATCATTGAACGACTCGCAGTTAACAATAATTTTCCTATTCATTCAATTGATCGACTTTACTTGAAATATACCAATGAATTTTCGAATAACTTTAACAAATTCTTTTTCAACATCCAAATATTTTTCCCATTCTTCCTTTGGTTCAGTTTTTCTGGAACTCAGGAAGATTCTGGGAAAAAAACTCAACAATACCAGTAATTTCAATTTTCTTCCAAAACCGCCAATACTCTAGGAAGTGCACTGGTCAACACAAAAGACAAGATTGATATTTTAGAAAAATCTGGTGTTAATGAATTGAATTGTAAGAATGATGATTGTAAAGTGTGCTACATTGGTGAAACAGGTCGCAAGTTCAAAACCAGAGTATCAGAACATAATCGTATTATGGAAAACAATGTTGAAATAGTTATTCAACAAACTAGTGTATTAATGAGGGCGATTAATGTTCGAGATCATTAATCGCCTTTTAATATACAAGTGGGTTACAACATTTTTCCGTCGACTATATTTCTCATTCCTCCTGCAATGTAGAAAACTTGGTTCGCGAAATCATCATTCATCCGGAAACTGCTAAGAATCACCCAGTAGCCTTGTTACTGACATTGGTGTCATTTAACATTTGTCGAAATGATCAACATAGATAATAAATTCCTTGTGCTAGAAAACAGGGATTGAAATCGTGTCAGAAACTTGGAAAGGCGAACCCGTTAAAAAAAAATCTTCGATGAAATCCATATTTTCGACTTGAATGCAGTTTCCGTAAGTTATAGCATAAACAATGAATGCACGCGGTGTATGTTTGGTTGCTTATAACACAACCGTGTATTAATAGACAAATCGTTCATTAATAGGGGTCATTAATGAACGATTTCATATACATTAAATTTAGTCGTTAATACGAGGTCGACGGAAAAAGATTTTTTCTACTCCTTACTCGGTAAGTACTTCATTTTGATACTGATTTGAGGGAGGAAAACACGTTCTACCTCCCTAGGGAGGTAAGTAAATATTTACCTCCCTAGGGAAGCAAGTTAAATAAACTTCATAATTTAACCTAAAAATTGAACTCTTCATTTTAAATTAACATTCATAGTACAATTTGAAAAATTACAGTTTGAAAAATGTGGGAAAACCTCTTGCAGCTGTTTGGACACTTCTACTGTTGTGCTTATGTTATCAGAAATTCTTGTTACAGCGCTGGTCAATGTGGTAGGCAGATGAATAGCAGATGAATTTGAATCGCTGTTATTCTTGTTATAAAGAATTTTGTTTGCCACCTCGTTCTTATTGCAAAGACTATCAGCAACATAACCTTCAGCAACCGTCTCCGACTTCCAGCCCCCATGTCTTTTAAGAGCTAAAACACTTGAACCAGTGTTAGCTAATAATGTGGCAGACGTTCTTCTAAACGAATGGCCGGTATAAGCTTCAGCGTTAGGCAGTCTGAGAAATTTTGCTATTTTTGTGGGAATAGCTGAAAAAGTGTTCTTTCCCACAGGCTGATTCAAGCATTTGCCTTCTTGGTATCTCAAAAAAAAACGTTGTTGGGGTCTTTCAACCAACGATCTTATTTTGAGATATCTTTTAAAAATGTTTAAATGGCAGATTTTACTGTCTTTGTCTGCAGTGATGATGAATCTTCTAGATGTACCATTTTTTGAATCAGGTATATTGATTATAATTAAATTTTCCATTTCCTGGACATTCTCTACACTCAGATCGCATAATTCTTGTGAGCGGCATGCTCCAGCAATCCCGACGACCATCACTACCTTCATTAATAAAAAACTTCTATCGTCGGCTTCTGTCAAAAATTTTTCTATTTCTTCTCGCGTGAAAACTAAAGACTTTTTTGGCTTATAGCCATCATTTTTTCTCTTCAAAAACGCCTTTAGTTTAAGGAATTTGGAAATGTCTACATTGTCTTGAATGGATAACGTCGATTTTAGCATCGAATACTCACTCCATAAACTTGCAGGGGACTTTAGGGTCTGTGACTTGTCTACAAAGTACGCCAGCAAAGAGTTCTCGGTAATGCTTTCACCACTTGCAATACTACTGCACCAAGCCTTGAAGTCCTTGTAACACCGATTGTACCGTTCCTTCGATTTCTGAGGTAATAGAGCAGCACAAGCTGCATTCGCAACTGCATCGATATCCATTATTTCGATTTTTTTAATAAAATGACATTGACAGAACATTTGTTTGATTATAAACAATATGAATTCCATAGCGATCAACGTGTAACACTAGGAAACCTGTCATACATACAGGGTTTTTCAGTTAGATTAGTCAAATTATATAAGTAATTGAAAAACATTTTTTTTAATCTAAGGGAACTGGAGTAGAAAAAATATAATACAAAACTCGGGAGGCAGTGTTCTTGACCAGTCTCGGACTATTTTGCAAGCCCTCGCTATCGCTCGGGCGCAAACAATGTCCTCGACTGGTAAGTATCACTTGCCTCCCTTGTAGTGTAAATAACTATTTTTAAGTCCAATTCTCTTTTTCCTAGCCATATTATCAATGACAAACACTCTTTTGATCCCAACTCTAATTACATATTTGTGACAAGGGAAAAAAACTTAACCTTCTTGAAACTCTGGAGATTAATAAAGCGGTCAAAAATTCTAACCTCAACTGCCTCAATGAACAAATTCAATTAGATAATCTCAAATCATTCAGCTCCTTGTTATTTTAACTACAATTTTTGTTCTGTGTTCTATGTTTCTTCGAATCAGAACATTCCTTAGTTTCGACTTGACGGGTGTCATTCTAATGTTGTGTTTTGTCCTCAGCGGCATTGTCATTAATTGTCATTTGTCGATGTCACTTGTGATTGGTTAACCTAATTCAACAAATCCAGGTCCACATGTTGGTTCATTTTGATATTTGAATTGTATCACTTTTTCTTAAAAAACTAAGCTCTTATTGAGCTGTAAATAATGGTTTCCTAACATTTGCTCACCCGCACTATGCGCGGTTGAAAACAAAATCAATTTTTTCATGTTTTTTATTAAGTAAACTACTTTCACTAATAAAGGTAGGTACATTTAGGTTTCTTAATCACTACTTAAAACCGACATAACCATTGTTTCTTCTTACAGATTTCCTCTCGATACATTTGCTGATGATGAAGGATTTATCCTTCGAAACATGTCCTCACTTATGTCCATGACCGTTGGTCATTATTAAAAAAATTTTATGTGATGGAGTTTTGACTGTAAGTTCTTTCACCCCTCCTATTCTATATCCCTAATCTGGACACCCTAAGCAGGATGGGGTTATAATAAGAGAAAGGGTTTTCAGGTAGTTATACTCAGTTAAGTGATAACAAACATCAAACATGCACTATTGGACATAATTTGATTGATCTGAAGAAATCACTGAGATCACATCCACTATACAGTGAGCGGCAATATTATGGAACAAATTCATTTAAAAGTCAGGCCTGTGTTTCTTGGGAAAACGCTCGGACAGGTCGATTTGTATTTTTTCCTGCGGTTTTCGTGGTA